TTTTTTTTACTTTACTTAGTGGTTAGCCGATGCTGCATGACCTAAAGAGGAAGAACTGACGTACAAAACAACTTGGAGAGATTATAGATTTGTAGGTTGTACCATATCTGCAACTGTTCTTATTTAGCAATCATCTGGAAGTCTACGATTTGTATGGAACTTCCTTACAAAGTTACACAATTGATATAGCCACTCAACTTAGGTGTTACCTCATTAATTCGTGAAGCTTTATCACTATCTGCTTTTCTTCCTTAAGTTTTTTATACCTCTTACATTCGCAGGAGAGACTTACAATGGCTATAGTCAGTCGAGCAAGATTTATCTAACTACTAAGTATATTTTGGCTTCTACATTTTGACTTTTATTTTCCTTCTTACTTTCGTCTTAATTTTTGAACTAATCTATTTCTATACTTACTACGAATGCGCTTTTATTGTAATTGAACTTTTTGGTGAAGGAACAAGACGAACTGTTTTACAGTCATTTAGAACGAACATGGATTCAAATGGCTTTTATTAAGCACGGCTTATGTAGAGGTGGTTTCAATAATACGATAGGCTAACAAATGGAAATGAAGGGTCTGAAGATGAAGGACTGTTTGATACACTGCGCCACTTTACTGTCCTGAAATTTAGAGTAGTCTTAGGGTGGCAACTGAATACTGTACAACTATAGTTCTCATGTTTATTTGTAAAAATATGTTGCTTAAAGTAGCAGGAATGATGTTTTTTTGATGATTTTTTTGCATCTCAAACCATTAAATAAATGAGCAGTTGAAAAACTAACTGGAAAACGATTTATGCAGTTAAGAAAAGCAAAAATGACGTCGCTAACACTAATATGTACAAGAAAAGAAAGAAAAAGCAGAAATGTTGAGTATGATACAAAAGCTAACATTGATTACCTTAATACACTATATCATAGTATTCCTGATTAACCAATTTTTTTTCCACTTAAACGTCTTCAATGTTGGGTTTTGCTTCTTTGCTGCTTATACTTTATATTTTCTTCTGCTTATACCCATTTTATGGTGTACCTCCTTAGCACAGAAATATAATGCTAAAACCGGTTATTGACCAACAACATTATACAGATTCTAATGATAACTACTAGAGGAGGAGTGACTTTAAATAATGGTATGGTTGTTTAGGAAAGAGAAAGGGAAATTTATTAGGCGAATAGTGTACAATACCCTGTAGTTTTTTTTTTTTTTGAATTTCTCTGTATAAAAAAAAGCGTGGAGCAACATTTTTTGCAGAAAAACTTAAAGCATTACAATGGTGTTGAAAACAGATTTATGCAAATTTGTAGTTCAACTGCAGTGAAAAGTACTTTTACATTATCGTTATCAACAAACAAATCAGACAAGAGAACAGTTGTTTTCTGATCGTCTGAAGCGTTTATTTTAGGCAACAGATCTTTAGCGACAACTAATTTGATTGCTATTCCTAATCATATATTTAA